TCCTCCTCCTCCTCCTGAGGAGTCCCGCCGCCTCCTGAGAAGGCCTCCTCCTTCTCACGGCCCCGAGAGCAGAAACAAGAAAGCCGACTCAGAAGGCTCGGAAGTCCCCTGGCCTTCTGAGGAGTTTTCTAAGCCCTCCCAGAAAACATAAACAAAACGCCTCTCAGAATGCTGGAGTCCCGAGGAGTCCCGCCGCCTTCTGTGAAGGCCTTCTCCTTCTCACGTCCTCCCTCCCTCGCTCGCCGCCGCCCTGGGCCAATCCCCCGCATGACGCTGCCCATGGCTGTCTGAGGAGGGGTGCCGACGCCGACTGGGGGGTCCACCGTGGTGTCAGGTTGGGCATGTCCTCCTACAGGCTGCTTTGAGGAGGAAGATCAAACATAGTCAAACAAATACTCCCACATAGGCAAATCTAAGAAACAATAGTATAATCACAACGACATAAGCATGAACGTTTGGCGCTCCACACGGATTTCTCGGATCTGCGCTGGACGCGCCTCCATGGCGCGAAATCCGCGCGGAGCGCAAACAGTTGATGTTTATGGCGATTTGTCCTCTTCGAATCAAGGGAATCGTCCCCAAACTATGCTTGGAACATGCTTGAATACTCCTCCTGTACGTGCGTGCGTGCGTGCGTGCGTGCGCACGCTGTCTCTGTTGGACTATGCCTCAGAATCACAGTCAAACACATGCTCCCAGACAGGCGAAGATAATACAACATACTCGTCACCAGACTGTGCTCTGACTACTGCTGAACATTTCCTCCTGCAGAGGGGCGTGCCCGACACGGAGCCGTAGGCGCAGGCACCGAGGGCCGCAGGGCACCCGACGAGGGAAGTGTGCGGCCGGATCTGGGAGGCCGGGGGCCCCCCGGCGGGGGGGCCTGCCCACAAGACGGGGGGGGCGGAGGGAGGGGCGAGGAGGGGCGAGGAGGGGGGGGGAGGTGAGGGAATGGGGGGAGGGAGGGGAGGGAGGAGGGAGGGAGGGAGGGAGGAGGAGCGAGGAGGGAGCGGGGGAGGGAGGGGGGGGGAGGAGGGAGGGAGGGAGGGAGGGAAGGGGGGGATGGAGGGAGGGAGGAGCGAGGAGGGAGGGAAGAAGGGACCCAGGCCCCCTCGACCCGCGACAAGAGGCACGACGGAAGGTCTCTCGCTGTGCTCGGCCCCTGGCAGGGGCCCCTTGCCGGACCCTCGGGGCCGTCGGAAAACGACGCCTCGACCCCCAACCTGTGGCGCGGCAGCACTGGGAGGAGGGAGGGACGGAGGGAGGGAGGGAGGGAGGGAGGAGGGAGGGCGGAGCGAGGAGAGGAGAGGAGGGAGGGAGACCCCCTCGAATCACGGCAGAACTCACGACGGGATGGTTTTTCGCTGTGCTCGGCCCCTGGGAGGAGGGGCCTTGCCGGGCCTCGGGGCCGTCGGAGAACGGCGCAGGATGCACAACCGCTCCTGGGGAATGGGTCCGGACCCCTGGGGGTGTCGTGAAGAAATCACGACATCGGGGGTCTGGGGAGGGAGGGAGGATCAGGAGGGACGGAGGGGTACGCACGACGGCAACCACAACCACATGCCCCAGCATGTGGTTCTGGCTGTTGGTAGCGGAGGGAGGCAAAGATCAAGGGAGTCGGCGGACGGATCCACTACGGTCAACGCGCCTGATACGGACGCGCGCCTTCATCTAGGGCATCCTTGTGTCTTTGCCGCTGCGGCCTGTCCTTTGCCGTTTTCACTGGCCTTTCCCTGGGTCAGGGTACCCTTGCGTCCCTGGGGTTTTGGTCGCCCGCCGCCCCCAGAAAATCCCAACTTCGGCCTCGAAGGGTCTTGCATCTTGCGTCCTTGCCACCTGTCCTTGATACACATTTTGATTGTACTCAGGGGAGGCGGGTGCCGAGAGGGTTCGAGGTTCGGGGGCTCGAATTTTGGGACGCTCTTGTTCCCTCCCTGGCCTCCAGGAATCTCTGGGAGCCTTTGGAGCGCCCTGGATACTGGCACCTCTGGCTTGCCATCGTTCGGACTTCCACTCCCCGTGCATCTGTCGATTCCTTGCGTGTTTTTTTGGCTAAGACGATCCAGGATGCTCCTCGATGGTCCTCGCCGAGAACAAAGGCACACGTCCGAGCGATGCCAAGCTGGAGGGGGAGGCGGGGGAGGAGGAGGAGGAGGGGGAGGAGGAGGAGGAGGAGGAGGAGGAGGAGGAGGAAGAAGTAGAAGAGAGAAGAAGAGTGATAAGGCAAGGAGGAGCGGGCTGGTGAGGAGGAGGAGGATGAGGAGGAGGAGGATGAGGAGGAGGAGGAGGACGAGAGGCGGAGATGGAGTAAGAAACTACTCCTGGGAAGTCTCGTAAGCACGAATGAGGGCGATTGAGCCGGGGGAGGAGGAGGAGTGGGAGGCAGAGACGGGGAGCGGACTGGGGGAGGAGGAGGAGGAGGAGGAGGAGGAGGAGGAGGCGGAGGAGGAGGAGGAGGAAGTGGAGGAGGAGGAGGAGAACGACGAGGAGGAGGAGGAGGACCAAAAGGAATCGAGGCGAAAAAGGAGAGGTCCGGAGGAGAGGACGGGGGAGCCGGGGAGACCAAGAGGTACCGATACCGCTACTCCCCAGACCTCTCCCAGGGTAGTGACAGGGCAGATTTTAATACATAGGGTTTTTAACAGCAAAATATGTGTAATAATGACTAATTTGATAATGAATTGTTGCATGAACTCATCGTTGCTTTTAATACTAAATCCCTGCATTTTTATACATGATCCGCACGCGGAGCATGTATTAAAAACTGCCCTGTACGTTCAAAACTTGAATTTCAAAGCGAATCCAGCGGTGGCGACGAGGGCCTCCCAGGAAGCCCCAAAGGGGGGAAACGATCGAGAGGTAGCGGCATCGGTGCCTTTTCATCCTTGGCAGCGCGCACAAGCGGGTACGGGGAGGGGGAAGGCTTCTTAGAAGGAGGCTGCTTCCTGGAAGGCGCCGGCCCTACATCTACAGACACAGCCGGCGCCTTCTAAGGAGCAGGGGTGCTTCCAAGGAGCCTTCCCTCCTCCCCCTTCCCCCGCTCTGCGCGTGGCCGAAGCAAGGAATCCAGTGCCTGGAAGCCGGTGGACCTCCACTCGTGGATTGGCCAAGAAACCTCCAGGGTCTGAAGCCTCCTGGGCACATTCCCTAAGGAACGCTTCCTTCTCGAGAAGGGGATCGGCTGCATAAGTGATTTACCACAACATTGACTTGTTACTTGTTCGTCGAATCTTCGAAGGACGCGGACAACGTTCGTAGATCTACGAACATTATGCGTATTCGTTGGTACATTTGACGAGAAACTCAAACTCTTGGGTAAATGAATTCTGTAATCGATCCCCTACCCCAAACCCCCGACGTCGTGATGTTTTCACGACTCGACCCCCAGGGGTCCGGACCCATTCCCCTGGACCGGATTCTCATCCAGAATCGTCTTTTGACGGTCCCAGAGACCGACAATAGTGGAAAACCTCGCGCCGTGATTCTTTCATGGGGGAACGGAGAAGAACATAAACATAAACACTCGGAGGTCCGCGCGGAGTTCTCGGATCGGCGCTGAACCCCCCTCCCTGGCGCGCGGAGCCCGCCAGGGGCGGCGCCAGGGAGCCCCAGCGCGGATCCGAGAAAACCGCGAGGACCTCCCAGTTCGTTGTATGATTATGTCATTCGGGGGGGGAGGAAGAGGAGGAGGGAGGGAGGGAGGAGCAAGAGGAGGAGGCGGAGGAGGAGGAGGAGCAGGAAAGGAGAAGGAGGAGGGGAGGAGGAGAAACAGGAAGGAGAAAGGAGGAGGAGTGGAGGAGGACTGGAGGAGGAGTGGGAGGCGGGGAGGAGAGAGGGGAGGAGGAGGAGGAGGTGTCTGGGATTCGAGCCTCCATCGCATGTGGCCGGCAGCGTTTTCCTTTCGCGCGTCGAGCGGCGGCCCTTGGCCGAGTCACAAATCCTCTGGGGAGCGGTGGGCGGGGGGCTGCCGCGCCCGGGGGCCGCAGAGGAAGCCGCGCTCAGATGGCGGCCGCCTCGTCCTGCCCCTGGGGGAGAGGGAGGAGGAGGAGGAGGAGGAGGAGGAGGAGGAGGAGGAGGAGGGGGAGGAGGAGGACGAGGGGGAGGAGGAGGACGAGGAAGGAGGAGGGGGAGGAGGAGGAGGAGGAGGAGGAGGAGGAGGAGGAGGAGGGGGAGGAAGAGGAGGACGAGGAGGAGGAGGAGGAAGACCAGGAGGAGAAGGAGGAGGGAGGAAGGAGGAGGAGTGCAGCACCAGCTGAAATGGAACCACCCAATTCGCATGCACCAGCCAAGCTGAGCAAGTTAAAACTCGTCCTCCAATTCATCGGGCACGTGTTTCCTCCTGTCAAGTACCCGCCGCCGCAGCTTTTCAGCCGCGGCGCGGGAGGATAATCCAAACAGCGCGAGCCCACGGACGAGGTCCACTCCTGACATCGAGCCCAGTGCAGGGTCCAAGTGGGGAACTTCCTCGAGGCCAAGCTCGGAGGCCACGAAATCCCTAGAGGCATCAGGCAGGGCGCTGGTTGTCCCTACGCGTCCGTCTCGACGGGAAACGGTGCTCACCACGCAGAATCTAAACCAATTGCCGCTCTCGGCCTGTAGACCGACTGCCTAGACAATCCGACGCGAGGGCACTGCGACCCCAAGAACTCCCAGGGCGGCCGACCGACCCGCAAATCGCGCAAAAATCAAAAGTCCCCAGACGGGGTTCCTGTGAGAGACGAGATTGGGGCCTCGAGGCACACGTGACCTCGGGCCCTTCAAGGTCTGAGGCTCGCCCTAACCTCCTCGCCTGGCACTGGCAGAGGTCCACTGGCTGCTCTAGCGGCGGTCGCCGCCGAGCCTGTCGGTTCCGCCCCGTCGACGGACGACGCTCCCGCCCCCGCAGCCGTCCCACCCGTCCCCTCACCGACATCCCCTTCGAGGGGCGGGCATTCTAGAGTAACGGATCTAAGCCAATCCAAAGACACGTGGTCGAACAAGGCGGCGTCAGATATATGCACCTCTTGCCTGGCCGAAATCGTCAAAACCTGGAGAGCAATTTCGTGGCATCCCAGGATCACGAAGCGATCTTCTTCAAAGCTGCGAAACAAGGCCCCCTCACGAGCGCAACTGTCGGCCTCCTAGTTGCCGAGCCATCGGCAGCGAGTGAGAGAGCCGCCGATGACATCGTGCTCAAAACAATCAGACCGAATCTTATGGACGGCCGCATCGCCCAGCTTGTCGCGAAGTTGGGCCCGCCAATGAGACCTCGGGTTCTGGGGCCCAGCCGCCGTCCGGAGGTCCCTGGCGCAATCAACCGTGCCAGCACAATCTATATGGAGCGGGGCGGCCCGACTCAAAACTGCATTGCTGGAGCATCGCGCAATCTTCTCCATCGCGGGCTGCCCGGATGGGTGCCTCGGCCAGTGGCACCACCCTCCAGAGAGCGTGCTTCACCACCCCCGTCCCCGTCCGTCACCACCACCGCCCATCCCGCTACCCCAAGACGCGGGATGTGGCCCTCGCGGGCCGACCCATCCGGAAAGACGTGACAACCCTCGCCCAACAACAATCCGTCTTCCGGCCAATTCGGGCGATGGAGGTAGCTGGGGGGGGGGGTCGGGGGCCCTGCGGGGGAACCAAAAAGACGGGCCAAGAAAAAGCCCCCGCACAAAGAGCTCCTGGGCCTTACTTGGGAGGCGAGCCACGAACTGAAACGCCGCGACGATTTCTGGCGTTAGCTCTTCACGCCGCCAGGCCGCCAAACTGGGGCAGGAAAATCGCCGGTGGAAGAGGGTGCCGCTTTCCCCGCAGCGGAGACAGGCGGGGCGGATATCTGCACATTTCTCGCAAAATATAGCTCGGCACCAATATCGATTGACCAGAGGGCCCATCAAGACATTCTGGCGGTGGCTGGTCCACCCGTCGGGGGTCTTGCAGGCCAACGGGGCCTGGGCAGGGCGGGCGCAGATCGGGCCAGACCATTCCTCGGCGAACGACTGACGACTCTGCTCATCGGCCACAATCGCGCCCCAGCGCTCCCGCCTACAGAGCGCCGCCAAAAACTCGGGGGAAAGACGGTCCAATGACCAAAACTTCCCTGAGCGGTCTCTGAAACTGTTTTCCTCGAGCTCCAGATCCCGGCCGATTCGGCGCAAGGTGAGCAGCAGGGCAGCAACTGGTTGCTTGGTTGCAGACCAAGGCCGCTTTTTCTTCAAAACCTCGCGCGCATCATCGAAAGCTGAAGCCAACGCTGCTCTTGAGACAGAGTTGTGCCACCATGGTGACGCGAAACACTTCGCAGTGGCAACTGTCACATGCACTAGTGGGTCGCGACCCCAATCCAAGCTGAAACGGAATGAGAAACCTGAGGACGAACCTGGCTGCAACGGACCTGTACTGCGGGCGGCCGCCACGCGGAGAGCTCGGAGGGCAGGATCCGAGATCCCTTGAATCGCAGAACCCCAAGGCGCCTCGGCGGAGGGGCTGGCGCGAGAAACTCTGAAGGCCTCTCGGCCTTTGCCGACGGCCCGAAGGCGAGCGGCTGCAGAGATGGCAGCTGCTTGCCGGCCTTGCTGAATAGGAGTGCGCCGGCGCGAGCCGTCAACCGCGTCGCCTCCGAGGTCGCGGTGGGTGTCGGACAATATGCTGACATCGAACGGCAAGTCGGGGTCATCCGACAAACGCTAAAGGAGCTCATTGCCCGACGCCATGATACATGTTTTGGCGACGTTCAGGGGCAGGTCAAGCTGCCGCATGGCCTCCAATGCCAGGAGGGCGGCGCGAACCAGTTGCTCACCGACAATCTTCGCGCCCCCTACTGCATGCAGCTTGTCATCAACAACTAGATTGACAGGGCGACAAACGGGAGTTTGAATCGCCAAATCCCAAAGGACACTTCGCACCAACAATTTCACGGCACCAGTGGCGGAAGAACACCCAGCCACGACAGCTCCGTTTGGCAGGGTGCTCCAAGACGTGGCCGGCAACCACCTGATTCGCAGAGGGCCCCTGTAGAGGGTGCAGAGGGAGCGGGGGAGGCCCAGGTTAAATGAATATTGCCTCGCACTCTTCTCCAGCGCGGCATGCGAGATGTTTTCGAACACAACGATCTATATATATATATACATATATATACAGAGCCGCTGACCATCCCGCACCTGCGCGCGTGCACCGTCAGCAAGTTGTGCACGAATGCTGTGCCGCCCGCTGCCGTGTCGCCAGACTTGCCCCAGAAAAAAAAAACGCGTCGACCGACTGCCCCCAGCGCCTGACCTCCTGCTGCGGCGCGCGCGACCAAACGCGACCCCGTGCGCAGAGGAGGCCGATGGGGCGACGCCCAAGCTGGGGCGGCGGCCGCGGGAGGAACACCATCATCGTGAGCCACAGGTGGGGCGCGCGCAGCGTCGCCTCCCAACGGTTGAGAATGTCCACGAGCCGCTGGGCCAGCGCGACGTTCAGCAGCAACGGGCAGCGCGGGTGGAAGTTGTCCCAGCCTAATCTTGTCTCCAACGGGAATTGCCTGGCAACCTTCAGGACCTGGCTGACCGTGATGGGGGGCAGGGTCGCCTCCGCCTCCCAGGTCGATGCAGTCTGCTCGTCGGCGCGGGGCGGCTTGTCCCAAATTTCAAGCCACTCCTCGAGAATGGCCTCGGCTGCCGCCGAGCCGACCTGGGCAAGGCCCCGCTCGTCGCCCGGGCGGGCCACCGCCTGGGCTTCCCCGCGCTTTTCCTCGGCGGCGCGCCGCGCGCCCCGAGCCCTCGAGGGCCGGCGGGCAGAAGGACCTCCAGTCCTTCGAGCGCTGAGCAGCGTCGCCCCGTCGTCGCTGAGCCATCTCATCCAGATGCAGCTCTTCGAACCAGTTGCAAAGCGGGCTCGCGCGGATCGCGAGGCCGAGCCAGTCCTGCAGCGAACCGCGGGTGAGGGCGGGGGCCTCTGACGCAACCGGAGGCAGCCGAAGCGCTGTCGCCTGCCCAACGAGCCGGTCTCGCAGCTTCGGACGGCGGGCCTGGGGCCCGGGGGCCGCCTGGCCCCAGCGCCTCAGTGCGCGCCAGCAGCGGAGCAGCCCCCACCGCGCGTCCGTGTCGGACGTGTCGAGGCGGAGCTGGCGCGCGGCGTGCAGCTCCACGAGCGGGCGCCGCGCCGAGCGAATGCCGCGGCCGCGACCCACGTAGCGCCGCGCGCTGGCCGAATCCAGCTCCAGCTTCGCCAGCGGGCGCTGCTCCGCCGCGTCGAACGAGTCGGCGCGCGCGGCCTGCAGATCCTCCAGCGGCTGGCCCCCCAACTCCTTCTCGGCTGCCGTGGCGGGGGTCTGGGTCTGTAGCATCTGGGGGGCCTCCTTGCCCTTTGGCGTGGGGGAGCTTCGGCGCCGATCTTCCACCCGGACAAAAGGCGACTTCCAGAAGTCCAGCGGGCTCCTGGAGACGCGCGCGCGCGTGCCCGCTGGCGTCGCCAAGTGCGCTCGCGGCTCCGTGGTCCGGTGCCCCAAGGTGGCCGACGCGACGAAGTAGTCGCATTCCGAGTCGCCGCGCGCGGGGCAGTCGGTCTCCAGGGCGATTCCGCCCACCTGGTCAACCCGCTGCGACGCCAACAGGACCTCGGGGCTGATATTCCAGTCGGCGCCGATCAAGAACGGCTCGCAGAGCTGCCCCAAGCGCGACGCCACGTACGCCAAGAGGTCAAGATTGCCCCCGGCAAGGCCGATGGAGGTGACCATGTAGAGGGAGACCATGATGACCGATGCCCCTCCGCCGAGATGAGCCCGCCGAAGGATGGCTCGATGGGCCCGGGCGGCGTCCACAGACGCCGCGCGGCTCAAGCCGATGCGGCTGGCAACCAGCCTCCCGACGCCACCTGAGACCGCCTGGCGGCTGTCCCCTGTGCGTCGCGCAGGGCCGCGCGCAAGTTGACGGCCCATGCCGGCGCCCCGTCGCCTGGCCCGCCCCGCCGCCTCATCGTCGAAGAAGCGGGTCTCCTGAACGAAGAGGACATCGGGGAGCGAGGGGCCGAGCCACTCCGCCATTGCCCTGGCGCCCGACCACTGGTCGTCATTGATCGCGCCGAACTCCAGCGCGCCCTTGGCGCGCGGCCGCGCCGCCGGGACCAGCTGATCCAGGGGGAGCTGCGCGACCTGCGCGCCCAGCGGCCCCCCCTGGCCGCGCCGCTGACGCGCCCAGGGTGGGCTCTGGCGCAGGGGGCGGCCGCGCGCGCGGCCCCGGCGGCTGCTCGGGCGGGGCGTCAGAGAGAATCTGGGTCGCGACGCCCCTGGCCCAGAATCCCCCCGCTGCGCTCCCAGCTGTGATATAGTTGCACTGTTCGGTCCTGTCGTTCGTGCGTTCCGGAAGAACCCTTCCCAGAACGTGCGGCGAGGGGCCCGGCGGGGGCGCCCTTGCGGCTGCGGCAGCGCCAGCAGAGGCTCCGGCAGCGGAGGCCGTACTTGACGTCCTGGGTCCTGTCCTCAATGTTTCAGCTGAACTGCTGCCCCTGACCTGGCCGCGCTCCACGGCCTCCCGCCCTGGCCGAGCGCGGGGTACCGCGAATCCCACTATCGGCCGTTCGTCGTCCACCTCAGTGTGCTGCCGAAGCGCCTCGTACCTGGCCACGCCGACTTCGAACATCGTCAAGTTGGCCGCGCTCCTCGAGGGCTCGTCAAACCCGCCGAGCTCTCTTAACCCCCAAGGCGCGGAGGGCCAGGTCCATCTTTCGCTTTGCCTCCTCCCGCTGCTCTGGGGTGGCAGCTCGAAGCTCAGCTGCTCCTGCGGCGAAATCCGCCTGCTTCTGCTCGTAGTCCTCTCTTCCCAATCCACTGAGCAAATGCATGTCGATGTCGTCGCCGTCTCCGTCGGCGGCAGGCTGATCTTCAGCTCGCTGGACTCCGCTTCCAGGGGGAGGAGCACCTGGGCCACCAGCGCCAGCAGGCGCAGGAGGAGGGGCCGCCGCTCGGCGCCGCTCAGCGGCCTCGCCCTGGAGGCGCGTGAGCACGGCCAACGTGTCCTTGGCCTCCTGGCTCTCCAGCACGGTGTCGTCCTGCCCTGCGCTGACGGCCTTGACGGGGTCGTCAAACTCGCTGGCCTGCAACTTGACCAACTTGGCCTCCCCCTCCTTGAGCTTCGTCTGCTCATCCCTGGGGGCTGCTGTGAGCTCGCCGAGCTCCTTGTCAAGAGCCGCCTGCTGCTCCTTGACCGCCTCAACCTTCGCCTCCAACTTCCCGATCTTTTTGCGAAGCCCCTCCACCCGCCAGCGCTGCGCCTGGGCCGTGGGCGGCTTGCCCTCGCTGGCCTAGGCGAACTGGGCCGCCTCCGCAGCCTCCACGCTGGAAGTGTCGAGCCCCTGCTCCGCCATGTAGGCGACCACATCTGTGCAGGTGATCTCGCCAGCTCCTCCGCCGCCTGCAGACGCCGCAGGCTGGCGGCCGCCGCTCCTCGGGGCGCCCCCGCCTCCTGCAGGCTGCTGGGGCTGGTGGGCTTGGGAACCGATCCAAGGCGGGGTCGTGGGTGCGGGGTCCCCCATTGAGCTCCGCGATCTGGGCACGCAGCTCGTGGAGGAGGCGCATCTGGGCGGAGTGCTGCATCGGCGGGGGGCCGTTGGCCCAAGCGCCCTGCGGAGGAGGGGTGCCCGGGCCTCGCGCCCGAGTCGAGATCGAGGGAGCCTGCGCCTTGGTTGCTGCCTGCCGCGCCGCATTGACCACCTTCTGGGGTGCGGGTTTAGCGCACTGTCTGCACTTGACTCGCGATGCCCAATTGTCCCAGCAGCCGCAGCCGCACCCCCCAGTAGGGGGTCTTCGCGCCTGGCAAGACATCGGGCGATGGCACCATCGGCCGCCTTCAAGGACGGCGGCGGGTGCGAGCGTGAAAACGACTGTCGATTGGCCTGCAAGCACGGGCCGCTCTGAAGTTCGTGCTTGCAAGCACAAGGGGCCCCAAAGCGCCTGTGCCAGAACGGCTGAGGAGGAGGAGGAGGAGGAGGCGACGGAAGAGGAAGAGCGAAACTTCACAGGGACGCCATCGAGAAAGGTTAAGGATGGACCGAGGAGGCATGGATGCAAGGGTGCCTTCAGGACGGCTAACCATGCTTACTATCGGTTTCCACTGTACGCTCCGGCACTCGCGCGCAAGGGCCGTAGCTCTGAGCGCGCTCCTCCCTCGGGCGTGTGGTAATGGGTGTGACCTGACTGGTGGGCTCGCCGACTTCGCCGCTCTCGCGGGGCGGCAGCGGCGGCTTGCGTGCCCACGCTGATGAACCATGAGAGGCCCCCTAACCCGTTGAGAGCGGACCTGAGTTGAGCGGAAAGGGGGTCTTTTCAGCAGGTGTATGAAGCCAAACCGCTCAGACTTGACATCCCTGCAGCAGCACAGGGGGCCAGAGTTGGGCGACGTCTTCACCCTGTCCTTAGGGGTAAGGCTTCATTTTTTTTTTCTCGACGATGCGTTCCGGCACTCGCGCGCAGGGGCCGCATGCTCTGAGCGTGCTCTTCCCTCGGGCGGGTGGTAATGGGGGCTCGCCGACTTCGCCGCTCTCGCAGGGCGGCGGCGGCGGCGGCGGCCCGCGTGCCTACACGAATTGGCCACCATAGGACCTCTAGCCCTGTGAAAGCGGACCTGAGTTGAGAGGCCCGTCGCTTCAGGGGCGTGGGGTCTTTTCACCTGGTGTATGAAGCCCGAGGGCCTAGACTTGGTATTTCGAACGTCTTCACTGTCTTACTGGAGTTAGGGCTCCTTTCGTTCTCGATGATATGCTCCGGCTCTCGGGCGCAAGGGCTGCATGCTCTGAGCGAACTCTTCCTCGGGCGGGTGGTGATGGGGGTTGACCTAAGCGGGGGGGCCCTAAATGCGCACAGAGGGGCCCCAAAGGAGCTTTTCGGGACCTGTCCTCTCCCCCCATTACCACCCGCCCGATTCCCCTCCCCCGAGCGCTCCTCTCCCTCCGGTTGCCCGCCGTGCTCGATGCGGCCGCGTGCATCTCACGTCTGCCTCAGAATGCGGCTAGGATCCTCGCCGCTGCGACAAACAAAACTTCGATCTGTTTGGAGCCCCAGGACCGCGTGGTGACGGACAGCGTGGTGCCCTTGGAATCCCCAACGACCTCACCGCGCGGTCCTTCGGCCTTTGGGATCCTGGAGGCCCCGATCGCCCGAGACGTCCTCTGAGATTGGCCCGGGTCCCCGCAACCGTGCGGTGACTCCGAATCCCCCCCGGCTCACCGCGCAGTGTGGTCACCACACCCCTTGGGGGCCAAGCTGCTCCCAGGACCTCTCCCCGGGGGCGCGTCCTGACCAGTGGGCTGGGCTCCCGGCGCAGAGGGCTGTGGCGTGCCGTGAGGGCCCATCCAGGAGGCCCAAAGGGGCGAAGGCGAGGCAAAGGCAGACCCCCGCATTTCCCAAATCGGCGGTGGACAAACCTCCCTTTCGTAAACCACCCTTTAACGAGAACGGCCTGGGACCGAAACCGAGGTACCTGGACCCGCGAAACTGACGGCCGCGACGCCCTCTCGCGAACCGGAAACGGCCAATTCGCTGATCGACGTGTCAGGGTAGGAGGTCCAGCAACCTCCGACCAAAGCCTTCTCGTCCGCTGTCGCATGTTTTCGTGGCGCGGGCTCCTGGGGGTCTCGACCACCTTCCCAGGGCCTGCTCTTTTCGTCCTGAATATTTTTCTGACGGCCCCAGGGCTGGGCAACGGCCTCCAACGACGTCAAACCTGCGCAACACCTGGCCGTCCTATCCTATTACGGTGGAGGCCAGTCCACAAGAAACCTTCCACAAGAAACCCAAGCCTGAGACCCCAGGACGTCCATTGACTTCTGGTGTGGGAACGTCGCGCTCTCCATCGCAAAGCCATCGAAACCCAGGAAACCCAGGGCACCCTGGAGGCAAGAAGGGTGTCTCTTGGCTTGGGCCCCCACTGCACGTCGCCTGGATCTGCGGGAGGCCGCGCGAAAAAGTTGACTGCCGCCCAGGATTATATAGGTCTGGCATGTCCCCCTACATGCGGATCTTGGACGACAAAAGTAAAACATACTAACAAAAATGCTCAACGATAGTCAAAGCATAATCGACAAATCGTCCCCAGACTAATTTGCAACTATTTTGGGACACGCCCGACTTAAGCCCAGGGATCTTCTGATCCGGGTCAATCCAGACCCGGGTCAGTCAAACCTTGCAGAATCCTGCAAGATCCTGCGCCCAAACCAGGGTCAATGCGAAGGATCCTGCAAGATCCTGCACCCAAGCCCGGGTCAGTGCGCCCCTGGCTCTGCAGGATCCTGCAAGATCCAGCGCTCTGACTGACCCCTATTTGCATTGACCCCCGTCTCTTGAGCCCCGGCAGGATCGCGCGTAGAAGTTGACTGCCGCCCAGGAGGAGGAGGAGGAGGAGGAGGAGTAGGAGGAGGAGGAGAAGGAGGACGCGAAGAAGGAGGAGGAGGAGGAGGAGGAGGAGGGGAGGAGGAGAAGGAGGAGGAGAGGAGCACGAGGATGAGGAGGAGAAGGAGGAGGATGAGGGGAAGGGAAGAGGAGGAGGAGGAGGAGGAGGAGGAGGAAGGGGAAGAGGAGGAGAAGGAGGAGGAGGAGGAGGAGGAGGAGGGCGACTGTCCAGCAGCTGCCGCGACTGGGCAGGGCGCTCCCCGCCGCTGTTGAACTGCACCTTGGGCGGCGGCGGGAGCGCCGCGGGGTCGTTGGCCATCTTGGCCTGGAAATCCCAAAGAAATAATATCCAGCACCCAGAAAAATATCGCTTGCCTCGTCCTGCTCCTATTAATTTCCCCCCTCTCCTCCTCCTCCTCCTCCTCTTCCTCCTCCTTCTCCTCCTCTCATCCTCCTCCTCCTGTTCCCCTCCTCCGCCTCCTCCTCCTCCTCCTCCTCCTCCTCCTCCTCCTCCTCCCCTCCTGCTCCCTGACGTCCTCCGCCTCCTGCTCCTTAACGTCCTTGTCCTGCTCGTCGTTTCCGTCTGCAGGGTCGGCGGCACCGGCCGTAAGGCCTTCGCAGTAATTTCGAGCACCCAGAAAAGTATTGGAACCGTGCCGAGCGAGTATCGCCTCCAAGGGCCCGACACCTGAAAGCCCTCGAGCTTCGGTGCTTTCCGGGTGCTCGAAATTCTGCCTGGTGGTCAAAGCCAAGTTAGGTTGGAACGTCATAAGCCTGGATCCGGTGGTAGGGCATCAGGCCGAGGCACTGCAGCCTGGAGGATCCACAAAAATACAGACCCCCTCGGGTCAGGGCAAAATCAGGGCGGGGGAAGTTTTTCTCGCTATTTTCGGCCTCTGGGGGCCTCACCGGGCCGAGGCACTGCAGTCTGGAGGATTTTGGTTGACCCATAAGGGGATCCAGCTGAAAGGGGGTGGTGCAACAGAAGTGGGGAAATGGTATTGTGGATGTGTTGCGCCAGAGAACGGTATTGCCGTGTATTGCAGGCAAGGTGTTGCGCGCGCGAAAATCCAGCAATATATTTGTGTCCCGGAATGTATTGCACACCCCAAATCTTTTGCAACCTCACAAATATGTTGCGCCAAACCTATTGCACCACCCCATTTCAGCTGGGCCCCCTTTAGGGCCAACCAGACGGATCCACAAACCCAGACCCCCTCGGGTCATGACGAAATCACGACGGGATTTGTTTCCCTATTTTCGGCCTCAGGGGACCCTCGCCGGGCCTCGGGACCACCCACAACGACTCGGGATGGAAAACCAGTCGCGGGGAACGGGTCCAGACCCCATGGGGGTCGCGTCATGAACCAATCCGCCGACCCTCTGGGGATCATCGGCGTGTGAGATGCTTCCCCCTCCCCAAACCCCTCCCCCTGGTGCCCGGTCCGGTCGATTTGGAGGGGGGGGGGGCCGTCCAGTCCGAGCTCATCAGGGGGGTCCAGCCCTTCCCGGGCTCCTTTTGAAGGTCCACGACCCCAAAAAAACACCCCAAAAAAACAAAGGGGTCGGCGGTGTTGCGTAAGCCTAAGAATCATGACGTCGGGGGTCTGGGAGCGGCCCTCTGACCCAGGCGACGCAGCACATGAATGTCGTAGCGGTGAGTTCCCTGGACGTGTGCTGTCTTTTGCAAGGAGGCCGTGGCTCGGCCCGGGGACCGTCAGCGAGCGACTCGGAACGAACAGCTAGCTGGCCCTGGGGAAGTGGTAAGGGGCAACGATAGGGGGCGACTGGCATAGGGGGGGATGCATCGACCTGGAATCGGCGATATATACATCGCCGATGGATCGGCGATAGGCCCCCGATAGTGAATCCGCACCTTCCTGTGCAGGTTGGGGCTATCGGGCCCCTATCGGCGATCAATGGGCGATGGGGGGGGTCGATGCACTCCCTCCCAGGCCTATCCCCCCCCCCTATCGCTGCCCCCGAAGTGGTCGATCTCCCCGGGGACCCGCGCCACCAAGACATCCGACAGCGGACGAGAGGGCTCTGGGGAGCGCGGGGGTCCCCCCTTGCCTCGTCTCCGCCCTCTGGGGCTTCCGGGGGGCCCTCGTCGCCGCGCCCCGATGCGCCTGCTGGTCGAGAGATCCCCGGGCACGAACCAAAAAAAAGGCGTCGTCGGAGAGGGGGGGGGGGGGGGGGGGGGCACGCGCCACAGAAGCAGATCCGGAATCTGGAGACGCGCCCGGCTGGATTCGCGCGTGGGACGCCCGGAGGCCACGCGCTGGGCACAAGCACTGGGCCACACTGGACAAGAAGCCCGCCTGGCATCAGGTTGGATCTCAATCTGGGGACCTTCACTGGAGACACTCGCTCCACTCGTGCGTCGAAGCTGCGTCAAATGAATCGACCCCGAGTCGATCCTAAGTCGAACCCGAGTCTAAGCTGAGTCGAAGTTGAGTCGACCTAGAGTCGAACAGATCCGCTGGGTGGGCCCCAGCAATGACTCCCAAACGAGCATCTAGATCAGGTGCCCCACAGACTTCTGATTCCACGATGGCCTCCAGGAGCCCCAGCAGGACCCTGGGGCACCACCTTACGGAGACCGCGATCGACGGAATCTGTACCTTCTCGCATGTCTTTACCGTAGAAGACCAGCATGACTACCTATCAGACGACCCCAACCTAACCCAAATACCCAAGTTTCGGGTTGGAGGGGGTAGGGGTTCCGCATCTATTTGTTCGATGTTCCCCGCCCACCCACTGGAAATCGAAGGTAATTTGGGCCTTCGGGTTGGATTGGGGTGGTCTGGTGGGTGCTGACAACAAGCAGCACAGGCACCAATTGGGTGACAGCAGGGCGAGGGAAAATCTTGTTAGGGACGTCTCTAGAAGCAGGCGGGTCTGGAATACAGTGGAGGCCCATGCCAAGAGACACCCTGCTTGCCTCCAGGGTGCCCTGAGTTTCTTGGGATTCGATGGTTTTGCGATGGAAAGCGTGACGTCCCCACGCCAAAAGTCTCACGGTTGGGTTTCTTGTGGGAGGTTTCTTGTGGTCGGGCCCCCACTTTATGCATCAGGCGCCGCGGCCGTTCCAGAGCGCTCTGGAACGCTCCGGGAGCGCTCTGGAGCGTCTCATCCTGGTCGCAGGCCTGCCTGCATAAGCTCTCGGAGGTCCGCGCGAATTTCTACTCCTAGTTCCTTCATAAGCATCGGTGGGGCGTCACCCCCACCAACCGCCCCACATCGACCCCCGTCGCGGGCAGCCACCGCGCGCCGAATGAGCTCTGACCCCCGTCGCAGCGCGACGATTGGGCGAGGTTGACCCCCGTCGGGGGGGGCACACCCCCACGCTTCTTAAGAAACCCAAAATAGTGTTGGCGCTGGACCCATTGGCGGCGCCTCTGGACCCCGCAAGGTAGCACCTCTGGCGCTGCCACGCGCCAAGGCTAGCGCCGACATAGCGGAGTATGCGCGGACCTTCGAGCATTCATCATTACACGTATTTTGCTCAGCGAGATCTTTCAGATAAGGGAGGAAAACTGAAGTGAGGACAGCTGAGGAGATGTTTCTGCGCTTCGGCAACCGCTTGATGTAGATCATGGCCCGATTGTGGTTCGACATGAACAGCTTGGTCAGGTAGCGCGACTTCAGCCGCCCGCTCGGGTGGGTGTACTCCTTCAGCTGGGTGATGTTCATCCAATTGCCGCCCATCTGCTCCTCTTTGGACGCCCGAGATGGGTACGAAACAATGGGCACGATGCTCAACATCAAATCCTGTCCAAAACCGACAGCGGCCACTGCCAGGCAGGCGGCCTCCTGTCTCTCAAGTGCACAACGCCCGCGGCGACGCCGACAGCGAGCCCTGTTCCAAGTGGGCAGGAACTGCTGTCGGCCCTCGTGCCCATTCTCTCCGCACCCGTTCCGATCGCAGCGATCCTCCATCCACAGGTTGTACCGCCCCTGCCTCCAGCCGTCGTTGTAGACGCTCGGGCCCTGCGAGGTCGTCCGCCCAGCCATCGCCACACGGCTGCACTCGCCCGCCGCCTCGAACGGGAGCCCCTGCGCCAGGCGTGCCGGGCCGCCCGCCGCAGGGGCCCTGCGAGAGAGGACCGGTGAGCGGCACAGGCAGACATGCACTCTTCTTTTTTGAGGGCCGCGCGGGCCGCCCCGACACTGCCCAGAGCTCCAGCGTGGTGGCGAGAAGCAGGGCAGAGGTGCTGTGCGTCGTGTTCGGCCTCGGGAGGCCCTCGCCGAGCCCTGGGGCCGGGGGAAGACGAGTCGGGAGGAAGAGCCGGCCCCAGGGGAAGGGTCGGGACTCCGGGTGGCCACGCGTGGAACAAGAGCACAAGACCTCGGAGAAAGAATGCCTGGGCCTGTTTGTGCAGTTGTTGCTGCCAGCCTGGGGGGAACCAGAGCCCCTGAAATGAAAACAGGGCGTTATCCCTTGGCTGTGCACATCCTCAAGGCTGGGCTCCTCTTGAGAGCTTCCCATACTCCCTCACGGGGCGGTCCTGGCGTTTGCGTGTGTGGCGCCGTCGTGGTGCCCAATCGTGTTTTACGTATTTTGTGCGCTTGTTTCTTGTCGAGCCCCTTGGGCGGCCATGCCAACATCAATCCGACATTCTATCAAAGCAACTGTTGTTCCATTCACTGGCGGTCGGTCCGGCAGAGGGACATGAACACAACAATGCTTCTCCCCAAGGAGGAGGAGGAGGAGGAGGAGGAGGAGGAGGAGGAGGAGGAGGAGGGGAGGAGGAGGAGGAGGAGGAGGAGGAGGAGGAGGAGGAGGAGGGGGAGGAGGAGGAGGAGGAGGGGGAGGAGGGGAGGAGGAGGAGGGGAGGAGGGGAAGGAGAGGGGGGGGGGGGAGGAGGGGGAGGAGGGGAATGCTTGCACGGATGGGTGCGAACTTCCCCAGACACGGCTTGTACTTCTAGGGCTCTTGCTCCGAGGTTTTTTCGCCATGTTGGCACCCGTGCCCGCTCGTGGGCGCCTCGTGGGCGCCCGTGCGCTGGGTGGGTCCGCCGAGGTTTCGCCTCGTCTCGTTGGCGCCCCATGGGCGCCCCGTGCGCAGCATAGCCCACAGGACGTACACACACGCCACGATCTAGCTTTCACCAGATATCGGGGAGACGTAAGACCCGGGTACGGGGGACTCGGAAATCCCCGACGAGGTCGTCAAAAAAATGACGAGGCCGAGCCTGCATTTTGACGAGGCCTCCCGCTGCAGACATCCCACGAAACTCCTCCTCGTCAAAATCCGAGGCGCGGTCGTCAAAAAACGATGGCGAACCCGAGTCCTGGCAAACCCAGGTCTTACGCTCCCCCGAAGATAGCTCAATTCACAAATGTTTCTCTCTTCTGCAAAATATATCCCCTGGGGATATCGGTCTTTCCGGTGGTACCAGGACGATGCCCCATCGATCATATGCCAAGAAAGAACTCGTATCCTGGTTAGACCCCGCATCGCCACATCTGTCTGTCGAGTAATACGATGCGCGCGCGTTCATTTGCCAGAGACCAGTCATGCATGTCCAATAATGTTTTGCCACATGTGGGACACATTCCACACGCGCGCGTCGTCGCGCGCGCGCATGCCAATAGTTCAAGCAATCCTTAGGTGTAGTCGGGAATGTCAAGATGGAGCTTCCTGAACACATGTATAGCATCGAGTGGTTTTGAACATGCTGTTTCCAAATAATTCTGCGCGCGCTCTTGCGACTGTTGCAAAACAATTGTTGTCCAACTGTCCATCACATATGTGCCCATACATGCCCCTCGCGCGCGCAAGTCGAAATCGTGCGAGCACCCATGGGCGCGTGCCGGGGAGGGGGGGCACGATGACACCATTCGGGCCATTCGCGCCGTCGGCCACGCGCGCATGTCGAAATCCTTCCAAAACCAACATCGCCTACACGTGGACACGATAATTTTCATCGGCGTGATCAACATCGGCGCCGTCGTTGGCGCTTCCGTCGTCATCGTCGTCATCGTCACCAGCATCACTACTATCGTTTCATCGTGTTTGCCGTTGTGGAAGTCGCCACCGATACCGCGCCCGCCGGGATCACGGACTCGCGCTGAACAGTCCGCGTGTCAGCGGCTGGAGAGTCCCCAGCCCGCGGCCGCGTCGGTCGCGCCAGACTAGCTGGCCGCCAGACTAGCGATGCGCCAGCTAACGCCAAGCAGTTATCGCAATTCCCGCCGCATGGGTTCAGCGAAACAAGTTGAGGGTAGGCGGGTGGGATGATTGCGCGAGCAGGGGGATTGACTTTTCACTAGCGAGCGTTCGTGAGTTTTCTCTCTTTTTCTCTCTTTCTCTCTTTCTTTTTTTCCTCAAAAAAAAAACGGGCCCACCGCCCTCCCGAGGCCAATGGATTCGGGCCCACCACACTCCCGAGGCCAGACTTATCCCCCACCTTCTGGGGATGTGCAATTTACATACGACCCTGCCCCATCGCTTACTCTAATCTAACAAGAGAACTTAGCTAGTCCCATCCAAGTCAGTAGCGAACCCTATTTTCATCCCTTGCGACAAATACCATGCCCCCACACTTCGTCATCTTCAGAGCTTGTTTCAATGAGCCCTTGTAGCAACAAAACTGGAAGAACGGCGCACGCGCGCGCGCGCACGCGCGCGCCCTCGCGCGCGCATGCCGGGATCCTTCAAACAACCGCAACTGTCGTAAGGATTTCTAAATGGAGCGCCCCAGACACATGAAAACAACGGTTTCGCAACCTGACTGTTTCAAAACAAACTGCGCTCGCGTTCGTGCGACTTTTCGAGGAGACCATGTCGTCTGTTAAATTCCATGAAATACGACCAAGCGTGTCCCTCATGCGCGCATGTCGAAATCATTCGAACGCCTTTGTGCGCGCGCTGTAGCACAAACCCATTGCAAACAACTGGGCGAAATGCACACCCGCGCGTCGTCGCGCGCCGATGCCGTATTCCTTCAAACACAGCAGGCGTCGCAAATATTTCAAAGCCGATCGTCCCGAAAACATGTGAAGCCCAATGGTGTCGCAACCCGTAATCTAAAACCCATGACAAACGCCTGCGCCCGCGTTCTTGCGAATGCAAGAGACAAGATCAATTTCACTATGTGCACCAAATGCGAACAAACGTGCCCCTAGCGCGCATGTCCAGATCGTTCGAGCGTCTTTGCGCGCGTGTTTGGGCGGGGGGGGGGGCGGGATCCCTGTCAAATGATACTATGCGGGCCATTCGCCCGCGTCGACCGCGCGCGCGTGTCGGAATCCTTCCAAAACCTTCATCGCCGAAGCGGGGACACCATCATTGCCATCGGCGTGACTAGCATCGGCGCCGTCATTGTCCGTGCCGCCGCCCTTTTCAGGATCGCCACCAGCATCGTTACTATCATCATCGTGTCTCCTGTTGTCGACGTCGCCATGATACCGCGCCCGCCCGTGTCACCGATTCGCATTGGTAACGCTGGCTAAGCTTTTTGAAATATAGACATCTCCCGCGCACTCGAGAACCATTCAGGGGCCTCTAAGCAGCCTCCCAAGCGCCACTCGGGAACCTCTCAGGAACCTTTCAGGAAGCTCTCGGGCCCTCCGGCGGCCCTCCCAGACGCCTCCCAGGAGCCTACCGGGAGCCTTTCAGAAACCTCCCAATTTAACGGGCGAAGAACGGTATAATATAAACTTTTTCGCTGTCGGGGGCTCCTGTCCCAGGGCGGCCGGAAAGTTTATACCCTTTACGGTGGCACCGTAGGGGTATAAACTTTCCAGCCGCCCAGGGACAGGCGCCCCCGACAGCGAAAAAGTTTATTTTATACCATTTTCCGCTCGCTGACCAATGGCCTCCCATTAAACAAACTCTTAGGACCCTCAGGAGCCTCTCAGGACCCTTTTCTGGGGCTCCTCAAGAGCCTCAAGGAGCCCCTCAGGGTCCTTACGGAACCTTTCAGGAGCCTTTCCGAAGCCTCTCAAGAGTATCTCAACATCATGCTACCAAAGTGCTTCGCTGAAATCATCCCAACTTCCGCCAGTTTCCGCCGGCGGAGCCGCCCCACATTTCCCTCCGCTGGCCTCTGCCGACGAAGAGAAGACAGCCTCCGACCTCCCGACTCCGAGTGCCCAGACATCCGATGTCAGTTGGTTTCCAGTGCGGATCCTTGGACATCCCGACCCAGTCCCCCGGGAACATTTTTCGTCCGAAATCCACCTTTGACGGTCCAACGGCCCAAGAACCGTTAAACCTGCAGGGCCCCCATCCAAGCTCGTGGCTGGCAACTGATTTGCGCGCCCCCTGGCTCGCCCTGTCCTTCTGGGTGTCGGCAGCCCTCAACGAGCCCCCCCCCAAAAATGCGTTTGCCCACTACTGCTCGGTCGGGCAAGTCCTCCTACAAGCGGATTTGAAGGAACAAATGAAGAATATTGTGTTAATCCTCGAACAATCAAAAGAGCACGACACATCGTCACCATACGATTTAAACAAAAAAACAATTCTGGAAATTTCTCCCTGTAGAGGGACATTCCCGGCTTAACACCACTGGGGGGGATAACAAGCCTCTTGTGGACAACGGGACCCCGAAGGCCGAGATCGAGGGCTCCCGCAGGAACCTGCAATAGACTTTGTGCTCATCGCTGGGTCTCTCGGCCCCTGGGAGCGCGGGGGCTGCGCGCGGCTCTCCTGGATCGGCGCTGGGCCCCTCCTGCGCGGGGCAGCGCCACAGGCGCCGCCGGGGGCGGGGCCAGCGCCACTCCCAGAGACCCGCACGGAACTCCGGCTGCTTCTGCTTTTTCGTGCAGTCTTTCTCCCTCGGATGCAGGGGCCCCCCGACACCTTGACCTGACCACCTGAAGTCCCGACCCCTTCCCCGGGACTGGATTCTCATCCTGAGTGTCAATCTCTGACGGTCCCGGGCCCAGCGGGGGCCCCCAAAGACCGAATGCGTGCCAACAACCGGCCGTCGCGATGTTCTGCCAGACGTGCGCACGTCTGTGGAGGGTGAGTAGAGGACTCCCAAGATCGCGCCACATCGCCGATGCATCGGCGATGCATCCGCGCCGTCGGCGTGGAGAAAGTCGGGCTCCGCACCGAGCCGCATCGCCGATGCACCGGCGATGTGGGGGGATCCTCCGACCACAGCTGCTCGGACCCTAGCTGGGAGGCCTAGACCTGTCTGGCTGATGACGATGACGATGATGATGATGATGATGATGATGATGATGATGATGATGATGATGATGATGATGATGATGATGATGAGGATGAGGATGAGGATGAGGAGGAGGAGGAGGAGGATGATTATGATGATGATGATGATGATGATGATGATGATGATGATGATGATGATGATGATGATGATGATGATGATGCTGACGATGCTGCTGAGCCAGGCTAGCCTTCGCGGGCCCGAGCGCTGCTCGAGCCCTTCCTGGCGCTCCCCCGACCTGCTGCCCTGGGCCACGGCCCAGCCCGTGGGGGCCGCGGCCCCGCCCGGCGCCACCGCGGCGCGCAGGCCACACAGCGCCAGCAGGGCCCCGGCGGCGGCGCCGAGCGCGCGGCGGGGCCCGGCGGGGCGCCGCGGGGCCGCCGCGGGGCGGAACATCGCGGGAAGGGCGCCCCCCGCCCAGACCCCCAATCGAGTCACGGGAAAAACACGACGGGACATGTTTTTCGCTAGTTCCGGCCCCGGGGGGCCCTCGCCGGGCCTCGGGGCCGTCAAAAAAAGCGACTCCGGACGAGAAGCCGGTCCCGGGGAATGGGGTGCGGACCTCTGGGGGTCGCGTCGTGAAAAAACCATGACGTCGGGGGTCTGGGTCTGACGGGGCAACGTTAGGGGGGACTGGCTCAGGGGAGAGCGCTTCGAGGCTCGAGGTCTGAGGTTTTCGGACGCTTTCTGGCCTCGGGGTGCCTTCCAGCGGCCGCGCCTCGTCGAGAGCGTTCCCGGGGTGCCCGGGTCGGTGATGGCCCGAAAAGCACGAGAGGACCAGCTCAGGGGCGGAAACATCGAGTTGGACTCGGCGTGACATCGCTGACAGATCGTCGACGGGCCCCCGATAGCGAAACCGCACGTACCTGGGAGAGGTGGACCATCGGGCCCACGTCGGCGATGAATGGGCGACGCGGGGCCGATGCATCGCCCCCCGAGCCTATCCCCCCCTGACGCTGCCTCTGACCCTCAGACGGGGCTCGCAAGGCACTGGTGGTCTGGGGCTGCCTGGGCGCCGCCCTGTGGCCAGACTGGCTGCAGCAGGATCCCCCCTCCCCTCAATCAAAACATTACTGGAGGAGGAGGAGGAGGAGGAGGAGGAGGAGGAGGAGGAGGAGGAGGAGGAGGGGGAGGAGGAGAAGAGGGAGGAGGAGGAGGACGAGGAGGAGGAGGAGGACGAGGAGTCAAAACGCCAACTCAGCATGCGCGGTGAGGACGCAAGGGCCTAAGAACATCATGTTGACGTTTTTCGAACGGGGCTGACCAGCGAAAACTGCCAAATAATGGGCTTGAGGGGCAACGATGCAAGGGTCACCTTGGAAAGTTGCTCGTCCCTACTATTGCGCTTTGACTGTACCTCATGGAAGCACACGAATAGCAGCAGGGGTGAAGAAACGGGTCGAAGAGTGGGAGGTCGGCTATGAGGGAGGACATGAGTGAGAGCACGGCCATGTGCACCTTGGTGCATTTTGCAGAAGGGATCGTGGCCGCGTGGACCAGACTTTCAGCCAGCACCGAGGCGACACCACGATTCCTGAGACAGATTGTCAGGAAGTCTCAGGCCGCTTCCAAACCTGCCTGGTGGTCTCGGGGCTGCCCATCCCCCCTGTGGGACTCCTCTGTGGTCCTTTCCTTCCTCAAACCGTGATGGCACTAAGAGTTCTCACGAGGAGGAGGAGGAGGAGGAGGAGGAGGAGGAGGAGGAGGAGAAGGAGCAGGAGCAGGAGGAGGAGGAGGAGGAGGAGGAGGAGGAGGGGGAGGAGGGAGGAGGAGGAGGAGGAGGAGGAGGAAGCAGAAGACGTCGTCTAAGGAACATCGGGCCCGCGTGCGGCTCCACCGCGGCCCCGTTCCCGTTCCCGTCGCCGCTCCTCGGGGCTCCAACTGGAGAGCCTGCCTGCGGGCCGCTGAGGCCCCGTGTCACATCCAGTCGACGCCGCCCCGCCATGCACTGCTGTGCACTGCCTTGCACTGGTTTGCGTTGGTTTGCACTGCGCTGCATTGTCGTGCATTGCTTCTGCTGTGTTGCATTGCTTTGCTTTGCGTAGATTCGCATGGTTTGGACATGCGTTGCATTGCGTTGCATGACGTTGCGTTACTCTGCAGCGTCATGCGTGTGTATTGCGCCGCATGGATTGCAACACCTAGACAGCACGACAGTGATTGCACCACCTAGATAGCGCGGCATAAATTGATGAAATCACGGTTTGGGATCCACGCTGGCTAACTTTTGCGTCTATAAGAACTCTCTAGCGAGACGCTATTAGGGAACACATGGTGACGGTCTACCTTTGGAAGTTTGCAAACGTCTTCGGCCTCTGGACCTCAAGCAGCAGTTTGGCCAATTGTTCGACGTGTTCGGCTAATTGTTGAACGTATTCGGCCGCTGCCGGCTCTGGAATCGGTCGGGCGGCGTCTTATCCCATGGTCTCCAGTTGTCTCCCGTTGTCTCTCGAACAATCTAAGCATGAGTCCCACAACGCACACGCGGCAGGAGGAAGCGGAAGAGAAGGGGGAGAGCGAGAGCACGTTGTCTCCCAATGTCTCCCATTGTCTTCCGCTGAATTTCCCTATGCCGAACCGCTTTCCTATCCCTGTCCGCATCCCGATCTCCACCGCTGTTCCTATCCCTGTCCCTACCCCTATCCGTCTGTTTCTTTCCCTCGGCTTCTCCCGGTTGAAGCAATCCCTAGAGTCGGGCGCTTTCAAATAGCACAGGCCAACATCGATTTGTGCTATTGCGATGGGTCGCACTGTCGTAAGGGCTGTTTGCGATGCGGGGGTAGATTAGATATGGGCGTGGGTTCTGGCGCCGGTCGATGCAAACGCGTCTCGATAGGAACTGCCTTGGTGGTGACGTGGATGCTGGCTCCCGTGCTGGAGCCGATGCCGTCTTCGATGCTGGCGCTGACGCGAAGGTTATTGCCGGCGTCGGTATTGGCGTCGATGGTGGGGCCGGTGCCGGCGCGCCGATATCCTGACGTGGGTGCTGGCGTTGGTGCTCGTGTGTCGTGGCTGCCTTGGGCGGTGCTGACTTCGGTGCGGGCGTCGAGTCTGGCCCCGGTGCTGGGGCCCTCGCCGCCGCCGCTGCCCCGGCCGCAGTCTCCGCTATCGACGACGCCGAGTCCACCCCGGCCGCCCCACCGACCGCCGTCCGAGCCGCTGCCGACGCCGCCGGCCCATGCGCCAGCGCCACCCTGGCCCTCCTCCGCCGCTGTCACGTCCAGGCTCTGCACGTCGATGGTGGACGCTGTGCTTGTCGATGCTGGCGTGGGTGCGGGTTCTGGTGCTAGAGTCGATGCTGTCTTCGATGCCCGCGCCGATGCTGAGACCGATGCTGGTGTCGGTGCTGGCGTCGATTCGTTGCTGGCGTCGATGCAGGCTGTGCTGGAGTCGATGCTGGCTGCAGAACTGGGATCGGGGGTGGTGTCGGTGCTGGCGCCGCTGTTGGCTTCGATGCGGGGGTCAGTGCTGGCGTCGCTGACTTGCAATGCTGGGGGTAGTGCTCGTATCGGTGCTGGCGTCGATGCTGGTGGTGATGCTGGTGTCCATGCTGTCCTCGATGCGGGTGCGGATGCTGGCGCCGATGCTGAGGCAGAAGCTGTAGTCGATAATGGCGTCGTGTTTTTTGTGTGTGTGTTCGATGTTGGCGATGATGACGGTGTCAATGCTGACGTCGATGCTGTCGCAAGGGCTGCTTGCGATACGGCGATCGATGTAGGCGTGGGTGCTGGCGTCGATGCTGGAGCCACCGCTGGCGTTGGTGGTGACGTGGATGCTGGCTCCAGTGCTAGAGCCGATGCCGTCTTCGATGCTGTCGATGGTGCTGGTGCTGTTGCTGGCGTCGACTGTGAGGGCGGTGCTGGTGTCGATGCTGATGCGGGCGTGGGTGGCTGGTGTCAAACTGGGGCGGCTCGCGTGGCTTCAGCAGCTGCCTCCCTGAGTTCGCGGTCTGACGGGAAGGCGACCTCTGGCCTAGGCCTCGTCCTGGGCGGATTCCGGGCTTCGTCCTGGGCCCGCTCATGGGCCTCCACCTCCTCAGCCAGGTCCCGGTACCCCAGGCCCCCCTCCGAGTCCCCCATCAACCCCGGTCGTCCTGGGGGTCCTCCGACGCCTTCTCGACGCTGGCGGCCTCCTCCAGTTCCTCTTTCTCCTCCCCGTCTTTGGCCTTGTCGTAGGTGCTCTGGGTGCCCACGTAGGCGTCGGCGGCGTTGCCGGCGTAGGCGTCGGCGCTGTTGCAGGAGCCCTGCTGCCTGTTACGCAGCTCTTCGTTCGGGTCGCAGTGGTGGTCGTAGTACAGATGGTCGTAAATGGTGATAGTGCTGCTGCTGCTGCTGCTGCTGGCAGTCGTCTTGGGTGCCGCTCATGGTGCCTGCGATGGTGTCTGTGGGCATGATGTCGGCGGCGTACGGGTTCATCGCGAAATCGGTGTTATTGCTGGCGTCTGCGTGCGCGTTGGTCGTGGTGGTGCTGGCGTCGGCGTGGGTGCCGGTGTTGGGATCGGCGTGGGCGTAAGTCTCGGCAGGGAATATGACGATGCCCTTGGCGGAACCGACGTGCCCTCTTCGCACTGCGTATGCGATGCGGCACCTTGCAGCAAGCGCGAGGTCTTTAGTTCTCAGCTTGGGGCTGGTCGGCCTCGGTGATTTCCACGCAGTGCCCGTGCGCTCGTAAATGGACTGGCACTTCTTCACGGGCTTTGCGGCCGCCATCGCCGGCCAGGCGCCACGCTGGTCGCCGCCCGCAGGGGGCCGGCGCCCCCCCACCACCACCGAGCGCGGGGGGGTGACCCCGCAGGTGGCGACTTTCATCCTCCTCCTCCTCATTTTCCTCTTCCTCCTCCTCCCCCTCCTCTTCCTCCTCCTCCTCCTCCTCCTCCTCCTCCTCCTCCTCCTCCGCTTCCTCCTCCTCCTCCTCCTCCTCCTCCTCCTCCTCCTCCTCCCAGACGGCAACAAGTGTAACAATGCTGCCCCACGGCGTGCAAAGACTGGCGGCCCTGGGCGCGGGCGGCGCCCCCCGCTGGGGCCGGACCAGGACGCCGCGGTGCGGCACCACGGCGGCCGGCTGCTCTGCGCCGGCGCCGCTCGCAAGGCCGGCCCTGCGCGCCGACCCGGAGATCCGCTGCTCCCCCAGAGGAGGAGGAGGAGGAGGAGGAGGAGGAGGAGGAGGAGGAGGAGGAGGAGGAGGAGGAGGAGGGAGAGGAGGAGGGGGAGGGGGAGGTGGGAGGAGGGGGGAGGAGAGAGGGGAGGGGGAGGAGGAGGAGGAGGATCAGGAGGAGGAGGAGGAGAAGGAGGAGGAGGAGGAAGAGGAAGAGGAGGAAGAGGAGGAGGAGGACCCCTCC